AGCACACTGCATCAACACAGAGGCATACACAGACATGCTTTATGAGTAAACACAAGCATATGCAAACACAGAGAGTGCACAAAAGCCCATAAAAAGATAAAGGTGTGATTTCTAACGTCAGATAATTTTATCTCAATTATAATATACAGAAAAACAAAGTGCTACTATCAAACTTCACATATAAAATTATCTACACAGAGAAATTATCTTCTATAAACCATTTAGGAAATTGAATGTTGACCTTAAAGCGAAGTGGCTCTTATCTCTTAGTGGCTTTTTGGTTGGCAGCTGCTCCAGACACGCTAGGTTTCATTCATACAGAAGCCAAGTAAAAGGTGAAATTTAAACAGATTAATAATTTTATCATTGGTTGATATTTTCCTTGGCACCAGCTGAACGGTCCCGAGACACACCACAACAAGAGCAAGACACTTGAGTCAAGACAGAGTGGCGTCAAGTGAACCACTTGAAAGAAAGAACGTGAGCAGTTTATTTTGTCTGATAATTTCCTCATTACTGTGCGTCACTGTGCAAAAGCTCTTTGTCTAAGTTTAATATAGTCTGAAGTGTTATAAATAAAAATGCTACTGATGGAAAAGATGTTGCGCTCATCAGACAAAATCAGTGGAATGAACAGTTGTCAGACAGGTTCAATGTAAATTCAGATTAAAATTGCTGGAATTACTTTCATGTCAAATAATCAAATTATTAGCTGTACTGGTGGCCCTAGGGATGGCACTCTTTGGCCTAGACTGATATGTCTCGACAACTGGATGGATTGCTGTGCGTTCAAAATTATTTAAAGCAACAAATCTTCACATCTGAGAAACTTTTTGCCTTCCAGTTTGACATTTTTGCATAGTAAGTGGTTTTATCAGTTCTGTTATTAATTTACTACTGATCGGCTAATCAATTAAGTTTCTAATTTATACTGCACAACACATTTTGTGAGATCTTATAGATTGCTAGATATTCCAGGGGGATCTGGTGCCACCCCTGGCCACTCCCAGAATCTGTTTGGCCAACCCTGGCACCACCTCTGCCAGAGTCAAAATGTGTATAACACCACCAACACCACCTTTAACTATGACTTCAATAATAAACATTCCATATAGTTGAATTTATACATTCATGACAAAAACTGAAACGTCACACATTTAGATGTTAAGGTGGAAGTGTTGCACTGAATTGCATACAATTGTACAGGTGCAACTATTAATGCGGCCGGGCAGCATATAAACCTGAAGGGACTTTGAGAATCGGACAGTCAGGCTGTAAACACCCCACCACCACCACCATCCCCATATAAACCTGAAGGGTTTATATTATGTAGAAAAAAAATAACAAATACAACAGAACCAGAAACTGGATGACGACATGAACCAGAGCAAAATCCAGAAATGACAAGAAACAAAAACAAGCTAAGAGCAGAAAATGAAAGCGAACACGCATGGCTGCAGTTAAACATCTGAAATATTTTTTCATTGCTGAGGCTGAACCAAAGACAGGCGTTCAATAGCTGCTCCAGAGGGATGCTGCCTGTAACACAGCACCCAGCTGCCAGCTATTGACCCCACACACCAGATGCATCCAGTTTTCTCTGAACAGGACAAGTAGGAATGAAACAGACACAGTTACACACGTGTGTTTACCCTCATGTCCTCATCCCTACACTCACAGTCACCAAATCTTAGCCTCCAGGTACGGCTGTGGGATTGACTTTGAGAACCGGACAGTCAGTCTGTAAACACACCACCACCACCACCATCCCCATACACACACACACACATATTAGCATCAGTCTTCAGATCTGGTGAGTGTAATCTGCTTAGTTTATGCTTGACTCACAGTCATCCATCAATTACTGAGACAGAGGGAAAGTCCACTGACACTGTGTGCAAACACCATTGTCTCACCGCGCCTACACAGTGACTCTCAGACACTTAAATGGTTTACAAAAGGGGGACACACAGGGAAGTAGAAGGGGAGAAAGAGAAAAACGGCTGGAGATGTGTGAAGTGAGATACAAAAAAAATATCCATATAAAGACTATGATTCATTTTATATGCATGCTTTACAGTTAGCTGTCTTTAAATAGATGGATAGCAGGGAAATGAAACATAAAATGATGGACTGACTGACAGATGAGAACTTCGAATAGGATCAGTTTCACTGTATTGAGAATGCACACACACACACACACATACATACATTCACGTCCATTCCAGAAACCTTAGAGAGCCTCTGGGAGAAGCTTACAGCAACATAACCCTAGAAACGTCACTTAGAGCCACAAGAATCTGCTGCCGCTCTCCTCAGCATCTCAGGCATCTTCGAACGGTTTTCACTTATATGGAGCTTCTACATTCCCACTGGGGAGGAAGTGAGTCACTGCTGGGAAACATATATGCACAGGAAGTCATTCAGGCAGGAAGGATTTCATCATGACTAATTTGGGATCATTTTATTGAATATTTGAGGCTAATCAAACTGAGGGAAACTGCACCCTACTAGTTTACATACTCTAATAACTTGGCTGGACTGCCCTCTAGTGGAGGAACGTCTCTGACATTCACAGCAGCTTTTCGCAGTGCCTTATACTGGCCACATAGTTTGAGAATGCTGAATTTTGAGTTTTCATATTTCCTATCCAATTAATCATCTCACAGTGTCTCCGATTTGTCTCGTGACCCTTTGGAAGGGCACAAACCCTATGCTGAGAACCACTGCTGAAAGTCCATCGATGTGTCATTATTAAGGATCTAATGATATACTTTATATAATAATATACAGTGGCAGTCTTCAGGTCATTTTTCTGCAGAATGAGCAGTTTAACTTTTGATGCTTTAAAATCCATCTACAGCACAACAATAATGTTGTACGTTAACTTGAGTAGGCTGAGAAGTATTTAACTTGTAATAGAGTATTCCTACTGTACACTGTGGTATTGGAACCTTTTACATGGGTAAATGATCTTTCTCCACCATTTGTGATCTTTGGTCTCTAAGTACAGTATATATAAAATTGTATCGACTTGACTCGAAAATATGTGATTTCACAGAGATGTTATACAAATAACAGCATGTTGTGTAATCTTGGATAAGTCTTTCAAACGCACACATACAAACACACGTCTGGAAACCAGCCATGTCTCAGGTGAGGAGCCACCGGTGCGGGGCCAACACGCTAAATCCTGGGAGTCAGCATCACACATACATAATGCTGATGTCAGGAACTATTATACACACTTTCACATATAACCCCCCCCCGCCCCCATTCCCTCCAGACACACACAAAACACCAGCATGCAGTCTATCTCATTATATCACTTTTATCTCCACAGGTGGTAAAATTAGCCCTCTGGCTCACTGTCAGCATGTCTACAATAAACAAATCAGCACAAACAAACACAGACTAAAAGAGCTATCTGTCATGTCGGTTGGTTTTTTTTTTTTGTGTGTTTTTTTTAAGTCTACCGCAGCTTTGTGCATTCATCCTCTGGCTTTCTTTCTATCCACCCATCCATCTAGGCACCCCTCTACTGTGGCCTAATACATTCTGTCAGCAGCTCCACAGGTGAGCCAGCCTCATTTCACAACACTGTTTCTCACCACAGAGAGCTAATGCCAATACTCGCTTATATTCCTCTGATTCCTCTGAAATCTTTCACACTGTCACCATCTTTTACCTCTTTGTTTCTTTTCCTTCTGTCTTTCCTCATGTTATTATTTAGATTCACCTATTTCCAAATTTACGGGTCTGACACTAAATCCACATAAAATAATTACACATAGACGCACAAAATAATACATGAAAGCAGGTGAATGAGCCATCATAAATAACAACACACCCTGCAGATGTCCCAGTCAGTTACTCAATGCAGGTAAACTCAGTCCGAGTTCACTGTGCGCTGGTGTCGCTCACTATTCACTTATATTTCTTCAAACAATAAAATATCACAAAAGCATATCTTTGTTAAAACCACAGCATTGCGCATTGTGCCTTGCATTTTGTAAAGCTTTCATCCCGACAAAAGCCGTTGTAGGTGTAGATAAAGCGGGAGGTGGAGCACTCCCGTGGACTCCAATCAGTTTTTCATGGACGATCAATCACTTTTGGTACAAAAGCATAAATGCAGAGATCACAATATAATTTATTGCATTATTTTAAAAACATCTATAAGGTTACATGCCAATAAATCATATTGTGCAGATAAATTAAACATAACTGGGCACATTTCAGAGACCCCCCCTAAAATGACATTTTCATGTTCAAGGGGTCTGAGCTGTCAATCAGGGGGTCAGAGACCCAAAGAGACCCCCTGTATTTCACACACTGCCTACCCCAAACTCCTCTCACAGGAACTCCACCTTCCGGTCATTCATCAGCCAGTTATCCCGCTCAGCACAGTCCACTGATTCCCGGCCACACCGAGGTACACCAGTCAAAATGTAATTTTCTGCAAGATTACACATGATAATGACTCGCTTTGGAGAGTCACCATAAATGATGACTTCCAATTATAGATGCATATCTATTGATCTGTCAACAGAACCAGTAAGAAAGAAGAGAGAGGAGTGAGGGGAGGAGATACATGGCTGTAGAGATATACAGTAATGTTATGTTTGCTGACATATTTTTTGATACCACACACACACACACACAGACAAAACAGTGGACACTCCTGCAGACGCAGCTGAACAACTGCTTAACTGCTAACAAAGTCTTAGATAAAAGCTTGAAAGCAAGAATTGATGGGAGTCAATAACAAGCCTGAGAGATGAGTTCACCTGGGAGCAGAGTAGACCTTCACCTGGTCAGACAAACACACACACACACATATACAGTATATACTGTATACACACCTCTGTTTTCATTCAAACTGGAGCGTTTCTAAGCAGACAGGAACAAAACACATCAGTCCATTTGCTGCAATTAAAAGAAACCCTGCATCTACTTCCTCCCGTTAGCTCGTCTTACTGCTTTGGCTCAGTACTCACGGTCAGTTTCATCCACTGGCTGGCTGGTCCTCCGCTCTAAAGCTGCAGTCAGTCAGTCAGTCTCAAGGACAAACGCTCCAGCTCTCCTCGCCTCCAGTCTCTGTAGCTCCGCGATGCAGCAGCAGCAGCACACACATACACACACACACTCCCAACACACACAAATACATAAACACACACACACATTCCCCTCTTCCTATCTCTCCCTCCTCTCAGAAGAGAGGGTAGAGGACACATAGCACTCCTGTATTCCCATAGATACAGAGGAGGGATTTGTATTGCAGCCTTGCAAAGAAGGGAGAGAGAGAGAGAGAGAGAAAGAGAGCATCATATTTCAGCAATGTTGAGTCAGCATGTGAATATGATGCATGTGTTGACAGAGTTGGAAATATTCAGACTCTTATGAGCAGTTAAGAATTCAAAGCTCTCTGCAAAGAGCTCCGAGTGTTTGTGTACACACGGTCTGAGAAAGATCTGAGTGTTCTCCTGGTTTGTGTTGAATTAACAAATGTCACAACTGGAGGGGGCAAATGAAAACCGGTTTCCTCCACACTGGGCATAAACTGTATTTGAACTGGTTCATTTTACAGCCCTGTTTGTGCGATGACCAACTGTCTGCTAGAAAAGCGATACCAAACGTGAAACATCAGTTTCTGTTAGCAGCTGTGGCAACTAGTGAGTTCCTCTCAGAAACCCCAGACACGAGTCTGAATTTGAGGCTGGCCATCAGGACGGCCGGCCAATATTATTGGTTGATCAGTGAATCTCAGCCAATCAGAAACAAGATGCTGCAGTACAGAAATTCCAAAGATATATATTATAGTCATTTAGAAACAGTTTGCTCATTAAAGAGCATTTAAGTTTATTTTTTACCTGTAAAATGTAACAATGTACAAATCTGTTTTTAATAAGTTTAAGGGTGGATATAAAAATGTTTATGCTGTATAAAAAAAAACAAATAGTGGCGATTTTATTACATTATTAAATCAAAATTTCTTCAAGAAGAATTTGATTATTGTCCTTCCTGTAATAATTCTAGTATAATTAAAAGTTATTAATACTGTGTAAAATGCTGCATTTTAAAACACACGAATGCTCAGTTTCTTTGAAACAGTCCCGATAGGGTTATAGTTATATTCTGTGGATAAGAGAACAGTCCCTTAATGTTCAACTTCTAGGTCTTTTAAGGCGATCATCAACTTAACAGCTGTTCTCATTACTGATTAATCTGGCAGATCATCTTCCTGATTATTGGATTCATTGTTTTCTCTACAAAAATGTAAAAATTGAAAGTTTGTTTTTCTCAATCTTCACGTCTTGTTTTACCTGGCCAACAGAAAGACAAGAAGCAAAGCATCAATTTGAAGCAAAAGATGTTTGAAATTTTTGTCTTATAAAAAGAAAAAAAAAAAATCAATTATGAAAACAACTACCTATTAATTAATTGACCGGGCATTGCAGCTATAATTCTAACTTCACATAAAATAAAAACAGCCACACAGTTTAGACAGTCTCTGACAGCCAAACTATTGTTACAGTACAACGTCTCTGCACAGTGTTTAATTCAAAGATCCATATTTTTCTGGCCCTTAATCTGACAACTGCACTTACATTTATTTCAAATTTAGAACAATCTGTGGTGACAAACCAATATGCTAACTAAACTACACTACCCAGTATTTGAAGAAAAAAAAATTTGCAATGGGTCCATAACTAATTAAAACATACAGTCCAAACATATTTCAGGATAAAATACCTCAACAAACTATCTTAAACAGAACAGTCAAGCCATTTGTTGGCCAGACTTCACCTCATGTGCCCAAATGTGTGTTTCCCCAGTAAACATCAGCAGAAACCTGCAGCAGCAACAGCTGTGCATGCATACATAGGTGCTAAATGAATGGAAAACTATTGTTTTGATTTTTATCCTTTTTTGTTGTTGTTGTTGGGTAGATAAAAACATTCTGATGACACGACTTCTTCCAGTAAATGAACAAAAATAAAATAGCCAGGAAACACATTGAGATATCCCAACACATATCTCATGTCATTACAGTAAAAAGCAACTAAAAGGAATCCTGAGGTATGGCCTAGTCAAATAGTCTTTGATTCCAAATATCTTGTGCAAGATTGGACAAAATAAATTTCATTAACTTACTAACCAATACTACTGACTGAATACAGACCAGACTTTCATCATCAGTGCGCTCACGAGTGCTGCTCTCAGTCTGTGGTCAACAGGACCCCATGTCTGAGGCCTTTAACGCTGAGATCTGTGGTAACAGGACTGAGGCAGCATGCCAGCTTAACACACCAACAGTGAAGCATCAATCTCATTTATTTTCTCCAACATGGAGTTTCTTGAGAAGACATTTTTACAAGAAATCTCATCTCACAGTCAGCATTCTCTCTTCTGTGTGGTCTCTGAGGAAATCCCAGGCTTCTTGTAGTTTCCCCAATATGGGAAGGTTTTTCCTTTCACCTGCTAGGACGGGTCTCGCCACTTCTGTTCATACTGTATGAGTCACACAAGCTTGGTTTACTCTATCACCCTGAGCAGCTTTTCATTCCTGTTGAAGCGTCTTGTCACACTCTGCTTCAGGCCCATGGTCCAGAAAACTGGGTGTTCAGTTGAAACCTAGGCCTGTGCCTTTAGGTCTCTGTGTGGCTCGAATGGGCTCGGTGATGCCCCTTCCCTCTGGACCCAGGCCCAGGCCTGGGCTCCAACCCATGCTCTGCAACATGCGGTTCCCCATGTTTGTGTCAGGGATCGGAGGTGCGTTTTCCCCGACGACTCCTGAAAGAGAGTTCACACCTCTTTAATTCATACAGGGAGAAGTGTGACAGCGAATTCAACAACTATCAATCTGTTTCATTCTGTCAACAAAACTGCGGTGAATAATCAGTGGTGACTTTTCACGACAAAAATGAAACTATAAACAATGAAAAAGTAACTTTTGAAAATGAGAAACCATAAAACTGTATTACATTTTTTGATAAACAACAACTAGCTGAGAAACTATGAAACTACAGGCAACACATTGACATTCAACATTTCAGCTGGACATGTTTTGTGTTCTATCAAGGGGAATGAGTAAATTTCTGGATTAATGTCAGCAGTGGACCATCTAAAGCTTTCTCTACGTTTCTTAAATCCTTAAAGTAATACTACTGTATTAAAGTTGTCTGATGATTTAGCTTCTCCTCTCAACATAGACCCAATGAACAGTGTTTTCAAAAGACAAACATATTCAAAGTGCAGGACAAAAAATGAGATGAAAACCAGAAAAGAGTCTTTGGTTTTTGTTGACATATGGTACAGGCTCAAATATCTGCAGAACTTGTTGCACTGAGCAACTTCATCACTCCATTAAAATTGTTAAGCTTCTCTGAAGAAAATCTAATCAACTTAGCCACGTTTCCAGGAGTGCAGCTAATACATCTAGTGAGTGGAAGTGCACCCACCTCTGTCTCAAACAGTCAGTGGTTATTCTGTCCACGCTTTTCCTGGAAGTTCATGCTCTACTCGCAGAGTCCGACCTATTACCCTTTTTAATCCTGTCTTGATTTGTGTGCTGCATGAAGAAAAGCTGTCCGCTTATTTACACATGACTGTTGAGTCACAAGTCAGTTCAGGCCAAAATGTGAGGCTGTGAATTTGGCAGGCCCTCGTCGCCGCCCCTCTGTGAGGTCAGCACCTTTCTTGCCTGAGCAATCTGACTCAGACATGCTTGATATTTGCAATGCATCACTGAATGTGCAAGTTTTAGTTTATTACAACTTGAAAGTAAGCATAAAGAAATAAGGATCAAATAGATTTACTTTAAATCCTAGATTTTTTTAACAATGACCACAGCTGGTATTCTGTCTGCATACAGTTCTGGCTTCAAGGTGTAACTTATGGCAGAAAATGGGATATGGCGTCAGACTAAATATCTGATGATGGTACTTTAGTCTAACAGCATTAGGCAAAAGCATCAACTGGCCCAGACTGGAGGAGAGTAGCTTGTTGGGGGATGGGGGGTGATACACAAGTGTAAATAGCTAAGAGCTAATGCAGTATCTCTGCACTGACAGAATGACTTAGTCAGCTGACTTGTCCAACAAAGTTTAGGAGGAAATGGAGTTAAGAGCTAAAGCAAGGTTTAATAATGGCAGAGGATGAGAGAGGAGGCAACTCTCATCTCTCAGTTAACCCTTTTACAAATGCAGAGTGAACGCCTCACTTCTTATCAGAGTCCCTTGTGTTTACATCAATGTATGTGCGACACAGACAGTGAGAGCTGGTGAACACGAGGAGGAGGAGACAGAAAATGAAAACAAAAACTACAATAAGAGGGGCGGCTGGTAGTGAGCGCCAAATGGTGTATTAGGTGTAGTTAGGTGTGCATCAAATACCTGCGAGGACAGTAGAACTGAGGGGGGGTGCTTTTCTCCTCCTCTTGACATCCCCTGTACATAAAGAGCCGAGGTGGCCACTGGTCTGTCTGCAAAACCAGCCGAGCAGGACAAAATATAACTACATTAGCTTGACCTCAAACAACACTACGGAAAGCATTTTTATTTATTTGAAAATTAAATATTGGCGTTTTGTCAATGAGACTGTCACAGAAACAAAGGCAGGTACCGTAGGAAATGAATCTGATTTCTGGTTATAAACCACTGGTGCTTTAAATGAAACCGTTCTCACCTGCTGGCTGTTTTTACTGAGCAGGTTCTTCGATGGCCCCTGTCTGTCCGTGGGTCCCAATGCAACTGACGTGACAATAGCGAAAACCGGTTAAAAAAAAAAAAAAAAAATATTAATGTTCATGCCATGAGAAGTTCATTCTTTCAATAACACAACAATAGTGTATTAAATATGAATTACAGAGGCCTTGTATCAGATCAAAAAATAAACATTGCATTTTAATCAATGTGAAATGGAATAAAATGACGTATAGAAAATTGGCTCACCTGGCCGTGCTCTCTCCTTGAGCCTGAGCTAAACCACGGGCTGTTGGAGACACGTTACAATTTAGTGATGGGCAATGATTTCAAATAGTCTTTAAATGTATAAAAATTGAATATTTCATGCGGCTATGGTTTTGTCTTTAAAAACAAAGAGCCACTGTTTTCCCTTGCTTTTACTGGTGCCTGGAAATAACACAATAACAAGGTCAGTATATCATTTTACTATAGTGCCAAATACAAACAGCAGGAACATGCAGAGCCCACAGCCGTCAAACCGTTCTTCAAGAAAATGAACAGAAATGAGGTGCAGTGCAAACTCTGGCAGGTTAACATATAAATCAGCAACAACTATGCACAGCCATTTGAAGGCGAGGCACCCAGCAGAAAGCGAGATGTGGTCCGTAGATCAACAGTCAGTGGCTTTGTCACCTGAAGAAGGAAGTTTGATGATCGAAGTGCTGAGCAAACAGCGGCGCTCTTCACAAATATGATAGCAAAGGACATGCTACCCATTAGCTTAGCCGGGGAAAAACAGTCAATGCGTGACTGGATAAACTGTATGATAATGCATGTGAGCTGCGCAGTCGTTTGACAAATGTTGAAAAAGTGTCTCTGACCACAGATGCATGGACAGCGAATAACAACTGAATCGTATGTGAAAGTCACCTGCTGTTATATAAGCTAACAGAAACTACAGAGCGCTATTCTTCAGACTAAAGCAATGTCAGAGGGCATACTGCTGAACATCTGGCAGATGTGCTTTCCACTGCTACGGAACAATGGGGACTTGTAGGTAAAGTTACAGAATGCATACATGATGATAAGGATAATCACCTTTATTGGCCAAGTATGTTACACACATGGAATTTGTTTTCGGTACATAACCGAGGCAGCCATCTGCGGCGCCAACTCGCACCGATGGCTCTAACCATCGGGGGCAAAGGGGGGATCAGTGTCTTGCCCAAGGACACTTTGACACATGGACTGCATACACCGAGATTCGAACTTCCGACCCTCCGGTTGGGAGACGACTGCTCTACCCACCGAACCACAGTCACCCCCAAAGAGATCTGTCGTCCCTGGGCGGGGACGACACTAGTAATATGGTGCTAACCAACATGGAGTGGCTTTGAATAACTGTCGAATAGTTCCCAGCAAATATCGAACAGCATTTCAGCTTATAATGCCCATCCCTATTACAATTAAAGCCCAAAATTCTGAGTGTGTAGGTGAACCTTTATTTATAAGACAATTAACAATTTTAGGATGAACTCTTAGGAGATCAGCCTTGAGCTAAAAGACATCGAAATAAATAACGAAATTAAACTCACTCATGGGATTCCTGGGTTTGTCTGCCCAGTCTGTTGTTGAAGCTTTGGCTGGAGCTTCCCTGTAATCCAACTTCAGACGCCTGCTGGTTTCCATGGAGACGACTCAGTCTGGCCTGAAACCCTTGCAAACACAGCACAGGTTTGTCAGCAATACAATTTGGATATAATTACTGAATTAATTAAATTAGCTTCATTGAACAGTTCATGTTGGATATGCTGCAGCTGATTTGGGTGTTGTAACCCACCCAGTTTGGTGGTAGGTCATTCAAAACTGCAGGCCAGTAGGATATTAGTAAGGGAAAGGATTACTCAAAAACCTTGCAAAGCTTTATTACTATGCCTAGAATTAGTAAGGGAAAGGATTACTCAAAAATCTTGCAAAGCTTTATTACTATGCCTAATAATACACAATAAGTTGACTATTGAAGGGGCACTGCATTCCATGATGTACTGGGAAAAAGCCCGTTTTGGCATTTAGCCTTGAACACCTGTGTAGTAAAATTACAGAAATTATGTTAGTCATTATGTTAGTGGCCCCTTTTAACTGTGAGAAATACTTGTCAAAAGAATATGTCCTTTATTTTTAATGTGTACTAAAATCAGTGCCACATGTAGAGTATTTTACTCCTTATAGTCCCACTGCTAAACAGTGCCCTGTTTTTAAGTGTGGGAAATGTTTGCCTCCTACTGGTCATGAATGAAACTGCAACCATTGTAAATTTTGTGGGAGTGTGCAAGTCCACTGAGCCCTAAATCCCAATGATTATACTGCAAAAGCTGAACACATACATCTCATACTATCATACTGCAGCATTCAAGCCAACAATGCCCCCAACCCACCTTCTGTGCAACTGCAACCTTACCTCTCTGTGCTCCAGGGCTCATGAGTGGGAAGGACCCTGTGAGAATGCTGTTGAAGACAGGGTCAGCTAAGTCCAGCTCCTCTGACCCTGTCTCCCTCTCCCACCAGGGTACCACTCCCGCTATCCCACATGCACCTCCGGGTCCTGAACCAGAGCCTGGTTCCCCCTCATAGAACCAGTCGCTCTGTTCATCATCGCCTGGAAGAGAGAGGACAGAGACAGAGAATGAGACCCCAGGTTCGTGAGCACTGCTACAGATGTACTGAGTCTAACTTCTGCCATGCTTGTGACAGCATTAGTACAGTGTTGTTCCAATGCACTTGCAGACTGTACTCAGGCCATTAACAGGTAAGTGTTAAGCTCTAGACCCCTTACTTAATTCGGCGTTTTAAGAGGGTGTCTTATCATCTATATGCTGATGATGTTGCTCTTTTAATGACTCTGAGTTGTTGTTGGCATATTGTTGTTTGCCTGTTCTCCGCTTTTCATTGTTGTCTTTATGAAGCACTTTGTGATTTTATCTGCGAAAGGTGCTATATAAATAAACCTTACTTACTTACTTACTAACTTATACCAACACAGTGTACCAAACACAGACTATGGGCTTTTCAGTTTTAACCCACAATTTTAGACATAACTGAGCAGGTACCTTGTCTCCCCTCATCATTGGTGTAGAGACCACCGTCACTGCTGTTACTGACACTGCTGGTTTCACTGCACAAGGAAAAAACAGAAAAAATAACATTTAAAAATAATTGGAAGACAAACCTGATAACTATTGACTAGGGATGGGCATTTCAAGCTAAAATGCTAGTTGACATTTGCTGCGAACTATTCGACAATTATTCAAAGATCACAGACTATTCGAATATTTGAAAATCGTTTCCCATCCCTACTGCTGACTAGAAGAAACACTGGCTAGTTCACACACACACACACACACACACCATGACCTAGGTATCACTGACATTTTCTGCTGATACAGTAGTTTTAATATCAATACCAAACGGATACTTTCTACAAGCCCCTTTTCTCATTGAACAACAGAAGTCAAGCTTTTCAAATATTATACATGGTTTAAAACACCTTGTAGAAGAATCTCAGCCTGAAAAACTAGCCTGATATCTGCAACATTTAATTTCTTTCTAATCATAAGGAAACAAGATAATGAAACTGACCAATTTTTGGTATTTGACTGTTTTAACAACCTGTAACAGGCACATTTCTGTCAAAAGAAATAAATAAGTGTTGATATTGATACCCAGATGCAATAACAGCAGTTCTTCTATACTTGTAGGTCTAAAAGACACACACATACCAGTGCATACCGTAAACATATGCAGACAGAGCAACGTCTGGACACAGATCACAAAAAGAAAACAAAAATCAAAACACTAACCACCTGTCACTCATGTCCTCATCGGAGACCTTCTGCTCCTCCAACTCCATTTTGTCCTTGGACCTTTCCGTTGGAGAAGAAATGGGGTCCTCACTCTCCACCACCACCCCTTCATCTGCTGCCTCTACTCCCAGCTTGTGGGTTGCTAGCTTCCTCTTCTTCACCTTGTTCTTCCCTCCCACTGGTCCTACCAGGCTACTTCCACAGAGCTCCATGGCACCCCTGCCCTCATCTGCACCCAATCTATGTGGCCTGCCACTTCCACGGGCTTTAGGGACAGGTGGCGGCCCAAGCATGGTGGAGGAGGGGGGTTCAGGTTCTACAGGCGGATCTACAGCCATACGTTTGACTTTACGTCGCCGTCTGAGGCTGCGAGTTCCCTCTGCAGACCCCAAGACAGCCAGGTCGTCTGGCCAAAGTGGCCGCTTGCTTCGCCCCATGTCAGCTGTGAGGGGGGTGCGCCGTTTGGGAACAAGCTGTCCATCTGAGTCACTGTTGTCACGAGCATGGCTGTTAGCTGCAGAGACACCTCCTGCACTGGCACGATAGTCCTGCAACAAATGTCAATGTGATAAATAACAGACTGTGGTACTAATGCTATATTAAGATACCTTACTTTGAGTATATCAGTTAAGCCAAAGTGACAGCAGACAGAGGATAGATTTATGCAACAGAGCAAAAAAAGAAGTTTCTTCAGCAACATTCACTAATTCAGGTTGTATCAAAAGCACTAGAGAGGTTAACACCCATTTCTTCTTTTCTTCTCTTAACCTCCCCAAAAGAACAGTGTGAGAAACGCATCATGATGTCAGGATGTCTTCATAATGTCTGAAGTGTTATGCTGGAAGGACCTTCACCTTGTGTTCTTCCACACTGGAATCTGAGCCCTCACTGAGGTGGCCTGTCTCCCAGGGTGGGTGTGGGTTGTCCGAGCGGCGTTTTCTACCCCTCCGCTTCCGAGCCTGCCTCTTCAGTAGACAGCCCACTGCCAGTGCATGATCTCCTCCATCACCAAAACCACCACGCGCAGCTTGTTCTGAACTCTCCTCCAATGCTGACACCAGATCATGGACCAGCTCGTCCATCGTCCGGCGAAAGTGCCTAGGGTGGAGGAAAAAGGGGTACTTCTTATAAATGGTTAACACTTGAAACCATTTAACCTGTGTTTTATTTGACAACTAAGAGTGTGTATAGGGCATCTATGGATGCATTACCTCCTGGCGTAGCAGGCAGTAATAAATGCGTATATCTATGTAGACATGATTATGTGGCTAAGAAGTTACAAGCAAGTACACTATGGAACCACCATTGTCAAAACATCTAAATCCAAGCACCGTGATGTTAACTAGCTCAGATTGTGAGATGGCCTACTGGCGCTGACGTTAATAACATCAGATAAGTTAGGTAAATCAGCTCATGTTAGACATTAATCGTGTGTTTCGTCGAGAAAAGTTAGAGCCAACACCCGATGCGTGTATTGCTCCGTACTTACGTTAATACATCTACCAGAGGCCTAATTCAAGAACCTGCGATGTCTTTTACAAACGTTTCTGAAATTAACATGGGCATTACTCTTTTAGTTTAGCATTTGGTTAGCGTTAGCGATTCTGGTTAGCTTCATAAACCAATGACTCTTGCTAACTGTTACCTAGCTAAGTTAGCTAACGTTACAACAAACGTCCAATTTCCACTAACGTTACATCTAAGTAATTACCGTTACATGACTATCATTTTGTCTGATAATTCTGACTACTGTCACCATAAAATAACAATTAAACTATATGATAGCTATAATAGCTTTGCAGCTAGTCAGTTAGCATAGCTAGCTTTAACACTGTAGCCGGCTGATGCAAAAAGTGGAGTGGACGTGAAAAATATGTTACGTCTCAGAAATTTCGGACACCACCTACCAGCCAGTTCCCGCTTTGCCAATGGTTTTTAGATTAGCTGCACGGAACATTAAAGCCGCCAAATGCCAGATATCTTTAGCCAGAAACAACGGACACACACTGACACACCACAGACATCATTCTGATACAAAGGCTAGATTAGCTAGCTGGATCAATATGCGACAAGCGGAGGAAAACAGCAAGGACTACTATGCTGCGTTCCCTGCTGTAGGAAGTATTAACATTAGCATAAGGCATCAAATCACAGCCCCGCAGATGATTTAGTTTTTTCCCCCCCAATTTTTGCAGTTGTTATTATTATTCACACATATGTTTGCGTATCGTATCATTGTGTTTCATCATTGCATATCATAAATGTGTTTTTTCTTCTAACACAGTCAATTTTCTCTTCACAATTGCAGATCTGCTTCCTGTCTTGTTTTCATCACTCTAGCCATCACCAGTAAAGTAACATACATAGAGTAAATGAAAATGCAGTAGCCTAAATAAAAGCTTTACCTGGCCTAAACCATAATGCATAGGAACCAACATTTCATAACTGACCAAACTTAATCCATTATAATTAATCATACTTCAAAGTTCCAGCAGTGCTAGTATCTTGACTTGTTTTTCCCCAGAACAAAATACCTTATTCAAAATATGTAACAACAAATAACCCCAAAAGTGAACCAAAACTCAGCTAAACTGCCACTTTATTAACTGATGAAAACAGACAATTGTTTTTCATAGAATATGCGATAAAGACATTGTTTGTAGACATTTTTAGGTATCATTAACTACCAAAAACACATAGTGTGTAACAACTCTACGTAACCTAGGTATGTTAGTCAGACCTTAAATGTTGCAATTGAAGGCAACACTAGGCTCTTAAAATGCTGTATTTCCATGTCCTCGTGTATTTGCTTTGCTTGAACACCGGAGGGCAGTGTAGTCTATTACAGATAGCTGCAATGGTTACAAGCAATCACCTGGTCTATCAAATATATACCACAAGTCACCAGGTCAAGCACATCAGTGCTAATAATGTCATATTATCTAACTGCAATGCTCATGTGAAGCGTCACCGGGTACCAGTGAGACCTGGACTTCACCCCATGTGACAGGTGCTCTGGTCTTTTTGCTTTAGTCTGAATGCCAGTGACAGCACCACCATGGTCAACAACAGGTGTCCCACTCTCTCTGTGACACCCATTTAGAACTTCCCATATTAAAAAAAGCCAGGCAGCCATCAAGAGGGGAAGCCCTGTACCAAGGCAAATTGTTGTGTTATTGGTGTCTGAAAGTGTGTGTGAAGAAGTCCATTCAGACTAATAATGTGACAAACAATCCTAACAAGTGTCCTCTCCTCAAATGCCTAAGACGTCAGAGGGTCTGGTGGAGGATGACCACTCCTGTACCCTCTCAGGTTTCTCACCCAGAGGCCCAGGTAAATTTAGTAAGATGCTATCCATTTGCACACAGCAAGTCAGACACTTGACATGCTCACAGAGTGAAGACAAGTTCTAGGCTGTAGCAGACTTGTGAAAGTTTCATATACACACATCTGCAGAGCAATAGCAAAGACCTGAGATCTGCAGCTTGGATCAAACACATTATGGAATCATGATATCAGGAGAGGATGTTAGTGAGATAGATGAGCAGGATGCCAATGACACCACCTGGAGCTGGGTAAAGTGATTTTTAAATCATTTGCATGTGTGCACGAAAAAACAAACAACTGTGGGTAAAATAATTAGCTAAATTTTAGCATATGAAGTAGAGCTTCTGCCTGAAAGCAAACAGAAATTTAATGGAGTTCAAAGTTATTAAGTTGTGACCAAAACAACCTCAAAGATGTTTGTGGATGCTTTTATTCAGTGTTATGCCTGTCCCTACCTTATATTTTGAGTTATCAAAGAAAACCTTTTCACAGTCTACAACTATAATTCAACAGTATCACCCCTAAAAGGTAATTTATGTCTTTAACTAATGCTTATAACCTCACTAAATAAGGACACAGAGCTGCTCAGTTGAATCTCTGTATCCGAGTTTGGCAGTTTCAAATGTTTCTATCAGGTCTTATGACACTCAGGCCAGAATATCCTGAACCAATCAGAAGGCTTGATATTAACCAAGCTTGGAAAAAGATTACGCAATGAATTTGTTAAAGCACCATCCCTTGCTGAGTCAGCTAAAATGACACCTGAACAGAACGACTAAGTGCTTGTACACATTGTGTGGAGTTAGTGGTGGAATAAAGTCTATGAAAAGTTAGTCAAAAGCTTGGGTTAAATGCAATGTGTTGCTGGTTGGTTTGGTAGTGTGATTGTGCACGAAAACTAATGTTTGCCTCTCTCTTTTTGGGAGATATACAAATGTAGAGTAAACACGAGTTTGCCTTTTTAACCTCACTAGCGAAGCAGTCAGCTCATAGCTACATGTCTGTATTCATATAAAAGAAGAATTTAAGATGTTTTATGGCTCTAGAAAACATAAGCAAATGAAAAAGATGACATCCATCATATGACATCATATCATCATATGACATCCATGTCCATGTCACTGATTATACATGTGAAAAATGAAACTGCCATCATGTGCTGTTTTGTGACCAGAGCATATTGGCTGAGTTCAGCTCCTCCTGGAAAAACAACTTTGTTCCAGGCATCTCAGTTAGGGCAGCTGAGTGGCTCATATATCTTTAGAGAATGCAGCGACACTGACATAAAGACTGAATATGTAGCCGACTGATCGCTGCTAGTACTAGATATACAGTATATCATACCAAGTTTTTAAAGGACTGTTAGTGTATTAACTCCAGGTTATATTAGAAGTTGAGGGAAAAAAGCAAGACTCTGATCTTCCTGCATCTTAAGGTTGTACATCAATATAACATTCAGGTTAAACATCTTCATATATATGAGTTGTTTTGCACAATATAATAAATATGAGACTGTTAGGTATTTTTAGTCAGATAGAAATTGGATAGATACTTTATGTATTAGAAATGTTTAGGAGAATGTTTTTAGCTACACACCACTTAATCAACAGACACACACACATTGATTTGCTTCATGTTTTGACTACTGCTATGGCCAGCTGCAAAGCTGGTAACAGAGACGTCTCGGTTGACGTTTCTGTGTAGTATGGGGCTAGCCCAACTGAGGGGATATAATGTATAGGCCTGGTGGGTTCAGGGTCCTTCATCTTACATCTGCATGTGAGCAGTTTGGAGGTGCAAGATACCTGAGCGTGTAATGTTAATTTTACCTGTGATCCTTTGAATAAATCAGCACTGTTTTGTAGTTACTTGGACTGTCTCGTCTCTCAGAGTCAGTATGGTAAAAAGTACAGGGTACAACAACACAAAGCTCAGATTCAGGGTATATTAGATGAGACAGAGGTTTAAATTACAGTAGCAGTGACTTGTAATGTGATAAAAGAATCTGACCTTTAGCTGCATAGAGAAGAGCTGCATACTATTCACACTCAGTGTGCAATGAGGAGAGGTGCTCAGTATGAGAAAGAAATGTTGAGAGCTTATTCTAAATTCTCACAGGAAAGGCCACAATTTAGACAAAGTTAACAAAGTGGAAACCACCATTTTACATAACTTATTAAAGGGTACCTATTGTACTATTCTGCAGGTTGTTGCTCTGGGTTCCTGCAGGCTCAGCAACTATCTCAAGGAACAAAGTGCTACTGAAACTAAATATAGTGAACATGCAAGGTAGTAAACCACAAAGTGGACACACAGCCAAAGCAGTACAGCATGAAACAGCAGCTGTGACCTTGTACAGTGTGAGTGACCTGCACTGCTTGCTGTTCATCAATTTATCAGTCTGCAAACTAGTTCAAATTCATGAAGGAAACAAATCTTTGTTGTTATCTGGTTGCTTGTTTTCCCTTAATTGTGTCTAATTCACAGTGGTGTCATTTGGCATGACTGTGTAAATATTTCAGAGTCCGCATTTATAGACTTGTGATGGAAAAACAAAGATATGCATTCTTCCTTTTCTGGTTTAGACCAGAAAGGCTGCTTCACAGTCTGGGAAAACACTTACTTCACATGCAGAGACACACACACACACACACACACACACACACACACTCATTCATACACACACCTTTAACTGGCCTTAGCAGTAGCAGAGCTATACATCAAATATTTGGACTGTTTCCAGGTTGTCTTTTATAAACACAGATATTTTGTTGTCAGATTCTGGCTTAGTTCCCACTTCATATGCATAAACATTGAAGCACATAAGGGTGCGTTTGGAGTTTGGAAAGTCTATTCAGTTAAATATCTCTGTGTGTTTGTAATTAAGCAAGAAAAATGCCTTAGTACACAGACATTAAATGTTTGGTTTTGATGGTTTCACTTCTGCAGAATTCCATCACGAGTCAACCACATCCTCCTCACACACATAGTGGCATTACAGGTTCTTAGGCTACAACTGCTAACATCGCATGTGCTACGAGCCAGGGCTGTGATTGGCCAGCAGGATCACCTCACCGACCGACTGGCTGACTACTGTATAAATGCTGACGTAGCCCACTATTTCTCACCGTTGCTGCACTGTAGCTACTATTTCCTTTGCAGCTCTTTAAGGTGAGACATTTCTGCGTACTAAAATATAGCTTTAAGCTCACATATATATAGTTTTCACATGAAAAACGTGAATCACATTACTGCATGTTATAGTTTTTAGCTTGTTTGCTATTACATATCTAGTAAGAAGTTTAATGCGACCTAATGAAAAGTGGTGTTTATTGACTGTTTTCGCATAGAATAATTGTGGATATGAAAAATAAAACGCGTCAAAACTACTTCCACTTTCAGTTTTGAGACTAGACGCAACCAGTCAATACCTGCAACAACGTAAGGACGTGATTATCACTTTGTTGCCAGTGTTGAAGCTGAAACGATGCGTTTGGCAACTCAGTAGCTCGACGCTGATTGGTCAGCCGGGAGGTTTTCGCTGGAGATGATGTCACTGTCAAGGCTGAGGGAGGCAGAGAGAGAGAGAGAGAGAGAGAGAGAGAGAGAGAGAGTAGAATCGGTGACTGACTTAGACCGTTTTCTTCCGATTTATGACAGCAAGTCTGGGCTTCACACGGATTCAGACAACACCTCTACCGGGAAAGAAGTCCTCTATAATGAGTTGTTGTTCTGTCATTCACCGCTGAGGAAACGTTAGTTTGTGTGTGTTGGTACGGATTGTAAGCATATTTGTCTTCAAAAGGTAGGAGTCTGTATTTACCGCAGTTTATTACACTTGTCTGTTCGGTGTGCTCTGCTACACAGTTGTACATAGCTGTTATGATAAATACTGTGCCTTGACCCGTGTCCAAACATTTTCCGTTTGTAGTGTCAGGATGTATGATTCAGCTATTTACATTTATTTATTTGATTTTTAAAAATTCTTTCCCTTTAGACGTGTGGTTGTGGATACTGTAGCACATTGGTTGTTGCTGTGAGGCACATGAATGTCATGTGTATCAGTCTGCTTAGTTTAACTAATAATTTATCACTTGCATCTTCCCTTTGTTGAGGCTTTTATTTTCCTAAATGATAAGAGGGAGTGTAGATTGGTTTGTTCCCAGTGACATAATGGATGAGACTTGATGAAAGATCCTCTGTCCACATCTGCTGCTGCTGAGTGGTTCAGTTTAATAGGATTTCTCAAACGCTGAGTTACTGCAAATGAGGGTTACAGGTTTTTCCCTAGTACACGTAATTGTTGAGACCAAACAGTGCTGTCAGTGTTTTGTTCCTCTTTTTTGATGCTTCAGCAATACAACATCTAATTTTGGATGAAGCTGCTCTGCATGAAAATCGGCTGGGTTTGCTGGCAGCTTGGTAATTCAACACCTTAGTGAAATAGTGTTAATGTAATGAATTATTTCATAAGGTGAAGGTCGTCTATAAGAGGTGTCTCAGACATGGATGAGGCTTCTAGAATTCATTTGCTACTCTAATTTTAGAGGGGGGTGTTTGTGATTGCATGTTGGCTTTGTTTCTACCCTATCTTCTCTTGTGCTGCAATCATTTTTGGGGCCACTGCCAACTGAGTGAAAGTCAGATCCTCCTTCCTTTTATTATTTGCAATTTGAACATTGCAAAATATCAAAGAATTTTGAAAGCTGCACAAATGAGATTTATCATGTTTGGCCATTGGTGTTTGCATCACAGAAACCTTAGTATCAATAGTAATAACTATTTTATTTATATAGCACTCTTAAAATAAAGCAAATGTTACAACATGCAAAGTGCAACTCTAAACTCATATAGCATAACAACACCCAGACAGGAGAACACACAAAAAACAGAATTACTGCTTTGCCTTCTATATAATGTTTTAGATTTGCATTTCTTTGCAGTAGTTTGCTTTATAGTGGATCTGTCACAATTAGTGTTTGTACACTTAGCATCTACTGCAGGTCCAGTAGTTGTATAATGGTCAGATATCACACAGAACAAAAAGATCATTGTCTTTTCCTGGTGTTTTGAGTGTTTAAAATCCTTGCTTGGTTCAGACACTAATCCACAGTAACCAGTGAAAAATTCATATTTACATAAAGAACAACAGGATCAAATGTTATAGCTCAAAGGAAGCCATGAAAACGTAAAAACTAAGCTACTCTGCTTCTCCAGCACGGTGTGGGTGTGGTGTGATCTGATTGCAGACAGTGACCGAACAACACCTGAGTCAGATGTTACTAAATCATGATGAGCGCTCCACAGTACAGGACAACACATGACATCACCTTTTGAATGAGCTTGCTTTCACATGAAACTAGTGCGACAAAAAGGCTATTACATAAGTTTCTATTGCGATAGAACCAACACAGTTCAAATTTTGGCGGAAAATTTGTGTTTATGATCCCACGGCTCGTAATAAGACACCGACTGAGGGGGGAAGTTTCAAGGATCCACCCATAATGTTATGTTACTATGTTGCTATCATCACTGTGAATCACTATGATGCTCATTGTATGAATAACAGGGACTAGTGGTCTGTAGCTGTTAGAGAACAATGAAAAGATGAGTAACCAATATACTCTGCTTATTCTTGCGTAACAGTATCTTTTACCTTCAAATGACATTTGCATTGACGACATTCTCAGTCCTTCTCACATGTGTCTGAAAACACTTCCGTGATGTTCTCCTGTAGTTCCCATGACACCTTGGTTTAACTTAACCGATAAACATCACAGAGCGTTTAACATCAGCTTCCCTGGACGAGTACACAGCACTCTAACCTGTTTAGTCTTTTGACCTCTGGTATCTGATGATGCTAAACAAGAAGCAGTTGGGTAGGATTTCTAGACTTATCTGGAAGGGGAGAAGGGGGCAGGAGGGTCAATGAACTGTAGCAACAGGTTGTTTCTACAGTATGTAGCCCTCAGATTGTGCTGGGAGAAAATACAGGAGTGCTGAACAGGAACTGGTCTTCGTGCCCTTATTCCTTACTTCCTTACTTATACCAGTCAGAGTGCAGCTCACAAACTGACTAGAACAACTTTATCCCATTCCAGTGAACGAGACTTATCAGTGGGTTAAAAGTAAAGAGCAGCACTGCAGATACTGTTTCATAAACACTTCCTCCTTCGAATTTTGCCTGAGGTCCAGGCATGGTTATGTCCAGACTTGTGGAAGTTAGTGGTCATGACTCGGTGATTTAAGTAACAAATTTAGGATTCATGGTATGAATGTAGCTTGTGGTTTTCACGCTAAATATCTTATTTGTCCATCTCACATCCATTGCTTTTGCTTCACTTCTCCAGACCCGTCAGACCATGAACTACGTGGGCCAACTGGCAGGCCAGGTGTTTGTCCAGGTCAAAGAGCTGTACAGAGGCCTCAATCCCGCCACCCTTTCTGGCTGTATTGACATCATTGTAGTGAGACAGCCCGATGACTCCCTGCAGTGCTCGCCTTTCCACGTTCGTTTTGGCAAGATGGGCGTCCTCCGGTCCCGAGAAAAAGTGGTAAGCAGATAAAAAGACATCAACCACCTTTGTAGTTAAGGGGAAAAGATTCACACTGAGAGAGTTGTTACCTTTCAGATGTTTGAGGGTTGCGGCTACTTTAAGTCTTGTTTCCTTCCATTACCCCTTTTCCCTCTGTCATTCCCCACTCTTTCTTGCTCCAGGTGGACATGGAGATCAATGGAGAACCCGTGGATCTACATATGAAGCTTGGGGATAATGGAGAAGCATTTTTTGTTCAAGAAACAGAGAATGATCAGGTGTGCATCACCATAACTGTGACTGAGCAGTGGCCTTATAAAACACCTTAGACCGTTATGTTTGTAATGTAATACGCCCTCTGTTAAAAGGTACACACTGATTCAAATAAAATCAAGATTCAAATGAAAACACATATCATTCTCCACCTCTCTGACACACTGAAACCTTAACACGCCCATGTTTACAGCCGAGCAGCCTTATCCTCCTCACACTCAGTCACAATAGACTGAACGTGGTCACGTGCTGTGTGCAGATCTGGCACAGTAGCCAGGAATTTCTTCCTTTCCTTTTAGGCTGAACTGTATTCCCCTGCTCATCAGTGAGTGCATGATAGCATGTACTAACCATGTACTAAACCAGGGCTGGCGTTTTCCTGGCAAAGAAATAACGTATCAAATTTAAGTAAAGCATGTATATTTATGAAACACAACTGTCAGAATAATTGTTAAAGGTTGACAAGTTAAATATATTAAATCAGAAATTCTCAGTTTCTAGTAGTTTTACTTATACTTTTTATGCCCATGAGAACCAACACTCAGTTTAAAATTAGTGGTAAAGTATGAGGAAATCTATTGTGTTTTTTTTTAGCTCTTGGAAAGCATTTTTTCAGTGTTTCTTCGTTTCAAGGTTTTGTTGTGCAGATTTAATGAGCCAAGTCACGTGTACTGTTATGATAAAATGCTGCTTTGCTATTGTATACAGTTGAAAATGCATGCAGTCGAAAGACATAAATAAGCTGTAAACTGCTGAGGCCAGGGGCAGGCTGTAGCAGGGGAAGTGGGTGATTTATTCTCCCCAGAGGAGCGTTAGATTCCTTTCCTTTCTCAGAATACTCCAGACCAGTTTTTCTTGGCACAGGGACGCAACACGTGAGGGAACATTGTCAAACCACTAATCATATGGTCCTAGCTCAGACCTTCTTCTCTCTCACTCCCTCTTTCCATATCTGTGTGCACACACATACAGAGCTGACAACAAGGGAACCTCCTGGAAAACTCTTTTCTTTTCCTAGAAAGAGGAAAGAACTGATGAACTGGATGTTTTCATTCACTGTCAAACTCTTTCCTCAGAAGGACAGTTTGACATTGATTGTACATATTTGGCTCAGACCAAAATAGTGCAAAACATTAATAGTGAAGTTATGTTTTAGTGGGAGTTTTGATTTTAAAATTAAGTTTTAACTTGTTTGCAAAAATTGTCAGAATGCAATCCAGAGAAGATATTTTGATGTAGTTTGTTTCTGTTGCTTAATATTAATGCTAGAGGCAATGCTAGTGCAGGTTGCACTGTCATGTTTGCTCTGGATATGTTCCGAAGAACCTGCATAGCACAAATTGTTCATTGTGTTGCTTGCGGTCAAAATACACATTTAATTTCAGCACAAATATTTCATGACTCAAAATTGCAATATATTTAAATGTTGGTATTCTAAAGAGCAAAGTGCTGTTTAACAATAAATAATACCAAAAGAATGCATCTCTTCATTGGCATCAAGTTACACGGTGTGAATTTCAAAAAGTGTCATCCTTGTTTCACTTTGACTTCTCATCCAAACAGGAAGTGGTTCCCTCCTACCTGGCCACCTCTCCCATCTTGTCAGATGGCGCCACTCTGATGAGCTCCTCCCTGATGGGGAAGAGCTCTGGGCCACCCATACAGACCCTGGGCTCCACGGGGAGCAGTGGAGAGACCGGCAGCGGGATGATGAAGAAGAGGAGGAAGCGGAGGAGGAAGGCTCGGACGGACAGCGTGAGGAGAGAGGAAAGCGGAAACTACCCTGAGAACGAAGAGATGTTCACCATAGACATCAGCTCTGATGAAGGGATGGAAATGGAGAGCAACAGGTGAGAAATAATAGATAGGAGAAAGAAAAGAGAAAAGGAAATAATAAATAAATAATATAAAATTAAATAAAAATAAACTAAATTAACAATAATAATTACAAACATAATTAAAAAAGACAATTAACGGGAAAAGGGCTATGTATGTAGGTTAAAATGCAGTGCTGGAGTCGGTCCAGCTTTCTGCATGAATAAACCCAGCAGCCTCTTCTGCGGTGCTGGAAAGTTACACACTGATAAAGACACTCAAGGGCATGTCAAGGCCTTCAGTTTACTGGATATGAAAGAGTAACTCTTACACTCTTACATGTGAAAAAAGGAAATATCTTCACCTTGTGTGTGTTTTTGTGAATTAGTGCATGTTTATTTATATTTGTAGATGTGTAAACAGACGTAAACATTCACTGACGGGGTGTAACTTGGTCTCTGGTGTGCTGTGTGGTATTCAACCCAAAACAGCTGATATATCAGATGCATGTGTTTTTGAATGTGTGTTTCAGGTCTTCGTCTCGAGATGTCTTACGAGAGGAGACAACAGTCGGTTCGATCAGTGGTTCTTACAAACAGTCTGGTGTCTATACTCGTTCAGATGGAGATTGGAGTCCAATCCAGAGGTGCCCAGCTCGCACAAAAAAGATGCACAGTTGTAATGCAGAAACAGACAGATCTAATTTTCACCTCTTTCTCTCTCAGCCCTGGAAATTCTCGTCCCACGTCTCCTAAGAGCGACTCTGAACTAATAACCAAGCCCTCAAATACAGACAGCCAAAATCCAGCCATGCACTGGGCGTGGGGAGAGCTGCCACAGGCTGCCACGGTAACCAAACTGTCCATTTTTGCAAGCACGCAGAAAGCACACCACTATTTCCTGCACATCTGGTTTTGGTACTGTTACTATTAGTCACAGTTTAAAATTTTTGGCTTCATCATCTTCACCCTCTTCCCTCTTTTTCCAGCCATCCTTCCTCCCTGTGAAATGTGACCTTCCACCAGTTTGTCCTGTATCCATCCCTGTATCTGAAAGCACGCACTTCCGTGCGATTATTCATGACACATCTTCAGAAAAGTGTGGAGCCTGCTCTGACATATCAGCGCTCAGACTGCTGATGCTGGAGGAGACAGCAGTCACAGAAGAAACACTGGTCACAGATGCGATGGAGTCTGAATGCACAAGGCTGGAGTCTCAGACACAGGCAGAGACGCAGGTTACATCAGTAGGAAGTGCGGCAGCTCATATGATGGCGGACATGGAGGAGACAACGCCACGTCCCCTAGGGAAGACGGATTCTCCATCCAAGAGAAAAGGTAACAGTGAAAGGGCAGTTCACCCAATAATACCATATTCTACAGCCATCATTTAATTTGCTGAGGTTTAGAGCTGCAGTTCTCCTTTGTGCAATAATAGCATTTGGTTTACAGTAGTCAAATCACCAAATATATATATTTATATATACATTTGGCTGGTCTTTCTAAATAGCCTATATTTACAGTTACTCACAATAACACAAACCCACATGCTGTTGTTAGCGTTTTAACATGTTTGGTGTACCACAAACCATGCATTGTATTAATGAGAGCAGCTGCAGATCCAAACAGTAAATTAAAAAAACTATTGATATTGATATTAAAAGAGTAAATTAAATTTGAATATATAATATTACCAAGAGGCAAATGGTTTCACACTTCACAGCCATGTGTTACAGCCCAAATATTGAATTGTGTGCAGTTCTTTTCCACAGGTTTTAACTGCCAAGATGATTTCTCAAAAAACTGGTTTCATTTCCCTTGTTGCCATAATAAAAACCATTCTGTCAAATGATTTTCTTGTGGCTAAACCAAGCAGAAAAGTACATTCTGTGGTTCTGACAACCAATTTGCTCTGTTGCAGACAAGAGGAGCCGCCACCTTGGTTCTGATGGGATTTACCTAGATGATATCACAGAGCTTGAGCCTGAAGTTGCAGCCCTTTATTTCCCTAAGAGGTTTGTGGACTTGCACAGAGAGTCGTGACACTTGTGTGATTAATGTTTTATCACATAAATGTAGCTGTTGGATGTTTGTTGTCATGACAGTGATGCAGCAGTGAGGAGCATCTCAGACCCGGGCCTCTATTGCACCAGTATTTCCCCTCATTCAGTCAGCTCTGGAGGAGACAGCGGAGTGGACAGCTACTCTGACCCCATGTCTGACCTGCCGTCCATTGCCATCTCTCTGTGCGGAGGCCTCAGTGATAACAGGGAGATCACTAAAGGCAAGCTACTCATGTTCACACACGTCAACTGCAAGATACACTTTGTGTACTGTGTTGCCAGCTATGGAAAGGGGAGCCTGAACCTGAAATATGTGTGTGTGTGTCCCTACAGAGCAGTTCCAGGAGAAGATCATCTCCTACCAGCAGTATGTAGAGAACCCCTCAATCATCGATGACCCCAACTTAGTCATAAAAATAGGCTCCAAGTAAGACATTTATAGGACTTACTGTAGTGAAACTGCAGGCTATAGGGTGTTTGTAATCCATTCTGTGCTGTATGGACTTAACTGCCACATACTGTGGTGCAAATTGCAGCCTTTGCAGTATTCTATGTGCTCATGAAACTGGTTTTGCAAAGAAATTTGTCTGACAAAATGTATTTCTGCTGCATTTCTGGAACTCATAGCATTATATTATGTCGTTATTTCCTTAGGTACTATAATTGGAGCACTGCAGCTCCACTTATGCTGGCTATGCAAGCCTTTCAGAAACCTCTGCCAAAGGTAAGAAATTAATAGGCACACAGTACAGATACTATGACTCAGACTGCAGGTTGGCTGTATTACATGGACACCATGCCCTCTTATGAGTGAGAATGGCACTGCATCCTGTATGTTTGCAGTATATCGCTGTATAAACCTTATGTGCAATCTATAGCATACAACCAACCCCACATCTTAAGTGTTGTGTTATGCTATTTGGGCACTCAAGTTAAAGTTTCTCTTCCCCTCTATTCTCCCTCCCTCTTACTTTATTTCTCCCTCCTTCTCTACTCCATCACTCCACCCACTAGTCATTTATCCTCAGTTATATTCATTCAGCCTTTGAGTCCCTTCTGTCCTGTCTGACTGGTGTCCTGGGCTACAGCTCTGTATGTCAAAAACAGCACTCACCTTTGTCTCATCTTATGTGCCTTTCTTCTGTTTTTACTTTCATTGCATCCCTCATTCTTCCTCCCCTGGCAAACACCGCTCACCCATACATGCTCCCTCTCAGCCCACCACTTTATTTTCCCCATCCCAGCCACAGACACACTGGTGTTTCTGTGTTACTGTTTGTTAAGTTATGGTCTGATTTGGCTTCAGTTTTTTAATGTGTTTTTATGGTGTTGCGGTTGTTTGGGTCGTGTGTGCACCGCTCCAGACTGCAGTGGAGAACATCATGAAGGAGAAGATGCCAAAGAAAGGAGGGAGATGGTGGTTCTCCTGGAGAGGCAGAAACAGCAGCTCCAAATCGGTAAGTACTACTTTTTTGTTGATTTGTCCAGACCTTCCTGACACTGTGATATTTTTCCCATGTTATGTGTTAGGTGAGCAGAACTACTTCTTCTCTTGTAGGACTCAGTCTCTGAGCGTGGTGCCTGTGGCTCTGCTGAGCAGGCTGGGAAAATGACAAGCAGGTAAGAAGCCTACAAACATCATATCTTTTGAACAGCCTTACTGAGTAACTTTACTATTAATTTCAACCTTTAATGTGCTGCTAATGTGTGAAAATAGACATAAAGAGGAGTCATCCTCTAGTGATGAAGACCACAGAGCAGTCAACCAGAACTCTCCCACCATCCAATCAGAGCCAGGAGGCGTGTCCTATAAGAAAACACTCCGACTTACATCAGAGCAGCTGGTGGGGAGTTTGGTCTGAATACACTGAAGAATGGTTTTAGTATTACTGATATTCGAAGAGTTCTTACCTTTGTGTATTTTTTTTATCTCTCTCTCTCTCACACACACACACACACACACACGCACAGCTGTCTCTCCAGCTGCAGGATGGTCCTAACGACGTGGTGTTCAGTGTCACTACTCAGTACCAGGGAACCTGCCGCTGTCAGGGAACCATCTACCTCTGGAACTGGGACGACAAGATAATCATCTCTGACATAGACGGAACCATCACCAGGCGGGTGACACGTGAATATATCTTACACCTGGAGTCAGCTTAGCTTGGAGTGCAAATGGCTAGACATATAGGAACATTCATCAAGGTCCTATGAGCTAGCCTACAGTTTTTGATAAAGAAACGTTTGCATTCACATGTCCTAATATCTCTTACGTGTGATTTTCTCCAGGTCAGACACATTGGGCCATATCCTACCCACACTGGGGAAAGACTGGACCCACCAGGGCATTGCACAGCTCTACCACAAAGTCAGCCAGTAAGCACCGCTTTATTAACACACACTCAGACATACAATGCACAAAGGCATATTCTGTAGAAAAGCTTGTACATATTTGACACCAGACACTTCTGATTATCTAATATTACTTAGAAATAAAGCAGACTTGTTATTTCCATCAGATGGTCAGTATTAATGGACGTTCTTTATCTCCCTGCCTCCATCAGAAATGGCTACAAGTTCTTGTACTGCTCTGCTCGAGCTATCGGCATGGCTGACATGACCAGAGGGTACCTCAGCTGGGTCAACGAGAGAGGCACCATGCTTCCTATGGGCCCCGTCCTTCTCAGCCCGAGCAGCCTCTTCTCAGCTCTGCACAGGTCTCTCATGTGACACATTTCTTTAGATGAACCTCTTGTAGCTCTCTGTGACTTGACCTTTGTTGTATAGTGCTTTTGCATTTATTAGGTGTGCATGTCTGTTTGTGCGTTCAACAGGGAGGTGATTGAAAAGAAACCAGAGAAGTTCAAAGTGGAGTGTCTCAATGATATTAAGAACCTCTTCTACCCAAACACACAACCTTTCTATGCAGCGTTTGGAAACAGACCAACGGTACACACACATGCTTGCATTTGCGTGTTACGTATTGATGGTATTGTACAGTATTCTCTGATTTTATCACACTAGGCCACTAAGTTATTGCCAGTTCTCAGTGTAGAATTTGAGCTGTTTGTGCTGTAGATTCTTGCATAAATGCACACAATTTGTGCAACGTTTAATGTAGCTGTATATCATTTTTAACAGTCACATGTTCTTTTTTATTTTTGTAGGATGTATATTCCTATAAAGAGGTAGGAGTGCCACTGAACAGGATTTTTACAGTTAACCCTAAAGGTGAGCTAGTGCAGGAGCACGCCAAGACCAACATCTCATCGTAAGTCCAGCATCCGGTTTACATCATCTACATGGGGTGGGGGGTTGAGGGGATACTGTAATGAAGAAAATGTTTGGTTTGCACCTTTAATGTATCTGATTGTTGAATCCTGCTCTCCTCTCTGCAGTTATGTGCGTCTAGGCGAGGTGGTGGACCATGTGTTCCCCCTGAAGACAAGAGCCTCCTCCTCAGACTTCCCTTGCTCAGACACGTACAGCCACTTCACATACTGGAGGGAGCAGCTCCCCCAGGTGGATCATCAGGGAATGACACCTCCACAGACCCCTGGCCCCAGCAGCTGATAACCTGTGCCCTGCTGAGCATGTCGTAGCAGGCAGAGCACTGACTGACTGATGGTATGCTTGAGATGTAGCCGTCATCTGGACAGTGATGGTTACGTGTGTGTGATGTGATATTGTAGATTTTTGTAGAAGATGGAGCACCTTTTTAGCACACTACAGAACCTAGCAGTGTTCTAGTACTCGAGTCCAGGACTCAGACTCAAGTCCAACTCGAGTCCTGAGTTTCAAGACTCATGAGTAGACTTGGACTTGAGCACTGATGACTCGGACTTGAGCATTGACTGTATTCAGACTCGGAAGCTGGAGATGAGAATTCCAACTTTTTTTGTAATAGGTCATAATAATGTGGCATAAGTTATTGATACTAAAACCTGTTCACGTGCGCCATGCTGTATCCGCCGCACTTCCATCGAAGTGTACACTCCGCCTTTCTATAAATGATTTTTATGTATCAAATTGCTGAGCAACATGGTGATGCAATATTGTTAGAAAGTTTGGAATATAAAAGAGTGAGAGCTGTGCGTTTAATGTCGACTTTGATGACCCTGACTCAGGTAACAGGGACTTGACTCTGACTCATCTCGAACACTGACAACTTGGGCTTGACTCAGACTCGACTACAACACCAGAACCTAGCAGGCAAATCTGCTGTGAGAAGTGTCATAACAGACAAGATGAATGGAAGTGTACTTTTATCAAAAGATGGCCTCTGGTTATCTTAATAGTTGTATGTGTATGAGAAATAACAGTAATTTATTCAGGCAGCACAGCACATGTATTATTTTGGAGTGAGTTGTTGACATTATTTCAGTAGTGAGACCTTCTATTTACTCACACAGTATAGTGTTTAAGAGTTTATCTATCAGTTCCTAAGTGCTTCATGCAGAACCATACGGTGCATACTTCAGTTACTTAAACTTGTGCCAATTATAGAATTTATTTTCATACTCTTAACTGAATAAATACATGCAGACTACTTTTACTTAAAAGCAAGATATGTGCTATTGTGTTCGAAAGATCAATCAAGTCAGTACTAATTATATAGCATGTTAAAATATACAGAGGCTAGTTTTATTAGCTAGTTTCAAAGCAGTTTCAAATGAATATTGTTGAATGATGTTAATTTTTCTATCCAAATCCATGTGTATATGTGTATGATCATGATCATATTTTTGCGGTGGCCTTCGTGAAATGTCTTTTAACTTATTCATACACTGAGGTTATGCTTAGTTTTATAAAGTATGTTCAGTTTAAGTGGCTGATATAAAATGTAGCTTACCCCGTGGTTACTTTATTGTTACTGCCATTCCTTTTGTAATATCATTCAAAATATAACTATGAAAATGCACAGCTGACTAACAGATTACATTAGCCACAGTACTAAAATGAATATTTAATCTTTTTCTGAGTTACAAAGGTTATTTGTTGCAATGTCACAGATAATATGAGGTCATTCATGTGAGCTGCTACCATGGGAGCTGCCTAATGCAGTGGGTGTCTGGTGCGTAAAAGCACTTGAATAGTATAACAGTGCAGTAGGTGTGAATAAGACTAGTTTATAAAATGACATGTATATAGTGCTATAACACTGTTGTTATTCTTTCCATGAAAGAGTCCAAATTACATGAAAGTATTTTATTTTTCCTTAACTGTGAACGTGATTGATAATTAGCTCCATCCCCTCTGTTGACCAGTTGACTGTGTAATTGGTGTAATCAAACTCAATAAAAATGTCTTGGTACAGCAGTGAATGCATGTTAATGTCCAGCGATCTCAGTATTACTATTTTGAACAATAATGACTCATCCACTTCTGTAATTCACTCAGCTGAAAAGCAGATGAACTCCAACCAAGATAAATCCTTTAGACAGACGAGTAACAACTTGTCTCTAAAATGTGAAGTTTAAAGTTTGGGGTGAAGCAGTCTGTCACTGACGGGGCTGCCCAGTGCTGACAGTCTTATGCATGGGGTGGGAGTCCTCCTCAAACAGGGATGTTAGCCTGGGTAACATCCTGCTGTCACCCATCACCTACACTGGATAAAGAAGACTTCTCAGTACAGAGCTGGCCCTCTTGACCAGTTTGTTCAGTTTATTCCTGTCACTACAGGCATCATTTATATTTTAATGAATGCATATGTGTCAGTTTGTCTGAAACTTAAACTGTCCATGACAAATCCTGTTCTCCTCACAAATGTATTGGTGGTGGTGAGCATAACAATCCCCAAGCAACTGATTGGTTGGTGGCTGTGCCTCAGGACGTACAGCAGTATACAAGGTCAGTGGTTCAGTTCCATCCATCCATGATCTACACCGCTTATTCCTGAACGCGGGGGGTGGAGCCTATCCCGGCTGACAACCACACACACTCGCACTAAGCTGCATATGGCTGTGGGAGGTACCTGGAGAAAACCCACACAGGCACAGGGAGAACATACAGACTCCGCAGAAAGGTCCGGGATTGACCGGGGCTCGAACCCGGGGCGTTCTTGCTGTGAGGCACTACCCGCTGTTCCGCCCGGGAGGAATTTCCAAAACAGTGAAATCATTGGCTTGGCAACCAGCGGACCTGCGCTGTATCTAGCGTCAGGTCAGAAACCGAAAGTTGACAAAAAGGACAGCGACCCGGTAAAGAATGGCGAATACGGTAAGAGACTGTCCTATTTAGATACGCTGCCACCAGCCAACATTAATTCACAGTTATACGCAAACAATCCAACATCATGAGTGGACTTACATGTTTAAATGCTCAAAACCTTTGACATCTGTGCACTTTGTTACAGATTACATTTGTTTTCTCGCCGCTGTCTTTCAAACTGTTTAACAACGTGTAAAACATTGACGTGTAACGCTGATGTACAATATGTAAATTGCATTACTCTGTTAAATACCTGGTCTTTAATATTAATTAATCACCTAATGATGACAAGTGTTTCTCATAATACTGACCCTGGAAGTTGTTTGTTAATGTATAAATTAAAACCTTTTGTTACTTAGTTTCACTTCCTATTTCTGTCTTATCTCAACATACAAGAGTCACAAGACCAAATCAGTTTCAATTCAGTGCTTTGCCTTTCTGTTCAAAGTGTCTGCATCACTCCTTCCTCCAGTACAGGGATTCAGACCTGGAAGATGAGGAGGAGTTTGTGGACATATTGGAGGAGAGGAGGCGCAGCAGTGATCTTGATCATGCCCTCAGGACCTATAACCCCTACCCCCACCAAGGAGCCCCACCCTGCTCCACAGCTGAACTCAACAGAGCCGTGCTGGAGTCCCCGTATCTGCGCTATGTAGTCAAAGAGGTTGGACTGTGTGACTTTTTAAAAATGTAACAGAAGTTTCACTTTGCAGCCTAATCCACATGGAGGTCCTCTCATCCCTGCACTCCTCAGGTCGCCACGGGGACGGGGTCATCGGTGGAGGAGGTGAGAGAGGAGGCTTGTATGATTTTGGCAAAAATGGCACAAAACCTGCAGCTGGGTTTTATCAGGTTGATGGGATACATCCTCACCAAGGTGTTCAAGAGGCTCTTCACCAGCATCCTTGTCAACATGGAGGGACTCAACAGGGTCAGGACTGATTACTAACCAAAACTGAACACAAAAAAACATCAAACATATACACCAAGGATGACTATCCACTAAAATTTACAGCTTCAAAATAATGGTTTGTGCAGGCCTCTGTAATATAGTTTTTAAAGGGTCATTTCCCCTAAAGTATAAAACATTTTCTTCCCCCTTATGGTATATCCTCCTTATGGGAGATGCTATAATTGCCTTTGTTATTTGTCTGTAATGCTCAAAGTAGTGACAAATTACTAATGTTTTTTCATTGTTTAAATGAACTCAACCTTTCAGATAGTTCAGGAGATAAATCTTGAGGCATCAACTCAAAAAAACAAGGAAACTCAAAAATGATATTGCCTAATAATTTTTTGAGAATAATTTAATTTCCTATACTTGTATCTTGATTTCATACTTAAAACATCTCAGATATGGACCCTGAACCAACGGGTTTTGAAAGCACATTTCCCTTCCTACTACTTATAACAACATTAAATAATAATTGCCAACTTTAATTTAGGCCTGTTGATGCGTTTTTGGGGAAAATACTTGTGTCCTTGTCGAACATTAGATGAAAACTGGGTTAGCTTACCTTAGCTTAGCAGCAGCTGGGTGCATTTAAATGTAAGATAAGAAGACCATAGTGGATGAATGTATTTTGATTAATTTCTGTGCTAAATTGTCGCCTCTCGACTACCAAGGGTCTGCTACTGATATAATACTAAATTTGTTTGTTTTTCTTCAATTTTTTTGTCTTTAAAGCTCCAACAAGCCACTCAGGAGAGTCCTGTGATTCTGATGCCCAATCATAGGTGTTATTTGGATTTCTTGGCTATCTCCTACATCCTGTTCACCTACGACATCCCTGTACCTGTTATTGCTTCAGGGGTTGGCGAGTATCTTTAATGCTAAACAAAAAGTTACCATCAACAGCTTTAGTTGATAGCTCTTCCATGTAAACTTAGCTATAGGCTCTGACTTCTCTTTGTCTCTCCACTGTAAAGTTCTGACAGAGATGAAGATAGTGGGAGAGATACTGCGTCGCTCTGGCGCTTTCTTTATCCGACGTGACATCGGCTCTGACAAACTGTACTGGGCAGTGCTGTCAGAATATGTCAAGACCATTGTCAGGGTGAGATCTGATACTTCATCCGATGCACCAAACTCAAAACTGTCATACCTCTTTTTAGAAACAACTTCAGCTTGGTTAATTATCAGCTGCTGTGTTTAACTGTGTGTAAAGACATTTAAAGTCCAACAGTTGAATGTGTTTTCTGTAGAGAGGATATGCTCCAATCGAGTTTTTTGTGGAAGGTTTCAGGAGTCGCCCATTGAAGTCTCTGGTGCCCAAGATAGGTGAGTGTTAACGTGTTAACACAGTGTATGGAAGTGTGTGTCTCAGGGTAGGGACATGTTTGATTTTTCATATGGGAGTTAATTTTGGAGCATATTCATAGGTGTTCCAAATATTTTGACCCTCTCATGTAGGCACTTGGAGAGGACGGTGAGATCTGATACTTCATCCGATGCACCAAACTCAAAACTGTCATACCTCTTTTTAGAAACAACTTCAGCTTGGTTAATTATCAGCTGCTGTGTTTAACTGTGTGTAAAGACATTTAAAGTCCAACAGTTGAATGTGTTTTCTGTAGAGAGGATATGCTCCAATCGAGTTTACCTATAGTACCTATAGTAATAAAGTGGCCAGTGAGTGGGACAAATAAAATGTAAAGCGGTAAAATGCAAACAAGGGTAGGCCTACAATTAATATGCCATTTCACTTTTTACTTTGTATTTCTGTTAAGGGACATCTTTTTGTTGGGTTGTATTTGTTAAAAAGGTGTCTGTGTTTCTCTGCTCTCCAGTAACTGAATGTGTTTGCAGGTATGCTGGACATGGTGCTGGAGACCTACTTTAAGGGGGAGGTGTCTGACATCACGCTGGTTCCCATAAGTATCAGCTATGACCGAGTGCTGGAGGAGAGGATGCTTGCACATGAGTTACTGGGTATCCCTAAGATCAAAGAAAGCACAATGGTATGGTTCACAATACTTGCTTCTACAACAAACCATCAACTTATTCAAAGAAGTCTCCTGGTTTTCTGAAACATTAAATATATAATTTTTTCTCAAGGATGTAAAAATCTAGAAATTGCAGATTTCTACCATCTACTGTAGGTGTTTGACCGGGTCCTGCATAAATAAAGCTCATTATTTTCCCATGTGGTTCATTCCTAGCCTTGCTCTTTCC